TTATCTTCCATCATAACCCCTCTTTCTCCGTGCTTGGTCCAAACATTATAGTGGAGCATGAAACCGGACTCAAACAGGTGGACGTGAATGGTTCTTGATGTAGAGTAATTGTGACCATTCTTACAGCCAGCACATGGACAAGGCATAAAACCATCCGCCCGCTTGTTTGCCTCAGCCGCAAGCAGAAAAGTATGCATGCCCTCAACGAACTGGGGAGAGCATCGGTCATCGTACATCCATTGCCGGCTCATCTTCATTACACAACACCGAATAGACCAAATTAATACAAGTTCATACAACACTTAAATGCAACAAACAAATAACTCTCTAGCTAAAGCAAATGCAACAACAAATGCGATCAAGATCCAATTAAGGTAACAATTGATCCAACAACATAATGATACCAAGCCTCACTATCGATGGCATATTTTCTAATCTTTCTAATCTTCAAGCGCATTTTCTCCATCTTGATCTTGTGATCATCAACGACATCGGCAACATGCAACTCCAATTCCATCTTCTCCCCCTCAATTCTTTTCAATTTTTCTTTCAAGTACTTGTTTTCTCTTTCAACTAAATTTAACCTCTCGACAATAGGGTCCGTTGGAATTTCCGGTTCACATACCTCCTAGAAAAAATTTCTATGTCAACTTGATGGGCATAATTTGTCATAAACACGAAATGCAACTAGTTTTAAAAGAGAATATATATACCACATCCGAATCATAATAAGGACGAGGGCCGACGGGGACGGATATCAAAACCATGACACTATATGTATAACAAACAACGTACGGGTAAGATAATTATACGAGTAACTATATATCCAAATCACACAAACATCAATTTTTATATAAAATTTCATGAACAAGAGGCTCATCACAAGGTGGTGCCGGCGACGGGACAATGCGGGCGATCGACGGTGGTTACGACGGAGATTTAGAAGGCACTAAGTAAACCACACCTACATATGCAAACTAAGTGTTATTTTTGACCTCAAATTGCATATAAATCAAATACTAGCACATATATATATTTCCTCCCAAATTACTGAACTCACAAATTAATCACTATATAAAGCATTGCAAGAGCTAATCTAGCAATGAGAGATGAAAGGACAAATGATGCGACCGTTGACAGAAAAACAATGGCGCGAATAATTATCCCAAATCTTTCACGGTACGGTGTCTCCCGAAACAACGTGGCACTCGCGATCTTGTAGATGCAATCACCACAGAAACAACACGCACACCCAATAAGAGGAAGTACGTGGACGATCTTTAGAAAGATCAGCAACAAATTAGAGCTAGATGCCTCCAATCTGCTAGCCTGAATTCACAAAGTAATCAACTTCTCAACTGATATTAACTTGTACGGGAAGATACCCCGACTTGTCCGTGACTAACAGCAAAATAAAACCCACCCCTTACACGAGGCACAGCCTCCCTTTTATATGGTGCACGCAGGCACACGATACAAGGGCTCAGCCCGACTCTATCGTGAGTTGGTTTCCAAACCGACTTAAACAAAAGGACTTTCTCTCTCCTATCTCTACTAATTAGGAATTAACTAATTTAAAAAGATCCGGCAAGCTGATCGCAAGAATCCAAAACTAACCAGTACTCCTTCACGTAACATTGACTTGACTTTGACTAACCAACGCACGCACATGTTGTACTCATCACGTATCAACATGGTGTTCTGAACTCTGGCTCAACATCATCCGTTGGTGCAGTTCGGATTGAAGTTTCGCCCTTAAATTTACTTGGCATCATCTTGCTGCCATGATAAAACTTGTTCGCCTGAACTGCCTGGTGGGTGTTATAAACAACAACATGCTTTCTCCTTTTCTGACGTCGTGCGGGAACGACATATCTCTCCTTTATTCCTTGATGATTTGTTGTATTAACAGTATCATTTGCAAAGGCACATGGGGTCACATCAACAAAGTTGCTAACCTTTGTGATCATTTGAATGGATGGGGGCCTTCAGATCTTGAAAAATTTTGGGCAAAATGTGTGATGAGCTCGAGAGGAAGAGGGGAAGAACAGAGAGGAGAGGGAAAAGGGGAAGAATAGAGCGAGCTCGGGTGGACGAAGGGTTTATGTAGGACGCCCTTTAGTACCGATTCGTGCCAAGAACCGGTACTAAAGGGGCTGGAGGGGCCCCAGTCTGACAACATTCTGCCACCACTCTCATTAGTACCGGTTCGTGGCACGAACCGGTGCTAAAGGTTCACCACGAACCGGTACTAATGAAAGCGGCTGGGCTAGCCGTTGGAACCGGCACTAATGTATACATTAGTGCCGGCTCAAATTCAAACCGGCACTAATGTGCTTCACGTTTGACCCTTTTTCTACTAGTGCCAATACATAACAGAGCGGCTCCACGCCTCTTTATGCATTAAAGCCACGACGAGCTCGGCATACTTCCGCTATGATGCTGCCTTCGTTGCATCTGAATTCCAACTGCCATCTTGTTTCCCGATTGATGAAGTCCACTCTCCAAACCAACTCACATTGTTTTCTTTTAAGAGCATCTCC